GTAGTAGTAGTAGTAGCAGCAGCACGCGCAAAATGATGCGTTTTGCGTACACCTGGCCTGAGGAGCCAGGCAAGGCATCGTTTTTCTGGCAGGCGTGGGTCGGAGGACGGCAATCGACGCCCCAGTTTCGCGGACGAGCAATTCGCATCTGAAAATGACAACTGTCTCGAGGATTCTGTGTGCGCGCTGTTTGAATTTGGCAAACCCTAAACGGAGTGGGTGGGTGCGAAACCCTGACCCCGAAGAGGAGTGAGTGGCTGCGAAACCTTGAAACCCTCAAAGGAGTGGGTTGGTGCGAAACCCTGAACCCCAGACGGACTGGGTGAGAGCGAAACCCCGAACCCTAAAAGGAGTGAGTGGCTGCGAATACCTCAAAACCTAAAGCGCGAAACCCCAACCCTAAGAGGAGTGGGTGGGTGCGAAGCCCTCAACCAGTAGTAGTAGTAGTAGTAGTAGTAGTAGTAGCAGCAGGAGTAGTAGTAGTAGGAGGAGGAGGAGGAGGAGCAGGAGGAGGAGGAGGAGTAGTGGTGGCAGTAGCAGGAAATAATACACAGTAGCACATATAGTAGTTTGTAGGTACGTAGTAGTACCGGAAGTAGTAGCAATAGTTCCAGGAGCAGCAGCAGAAGCAGTCCCAATCGGTCGTCATCATGGTGGTGGTGGCAGGCGTATTCGTGGTTGCAGTCGTCACCGTAGCAATTAGTTGCAGTAGTAGGATTGCAGTTGTGGTCACGTTAAACATAACAGTAAGCAAGCAGAACTCCCCCGTTTTGCAGGGGCCGTCGTGGTGTTGGCGCCGGTAGAACGTGCTGCTGTGGGGCAGTGGTTATCGCAGCAAGCGTGACACCACTACTCAAAGCAGCTGCACCAAAATCATCATGGTCCCTCGTATTAATGTCATTTTTCGGCCTCGATCTGCGCGAGGTAGTCCAAGTACTCTTGCCGGTGTGCCGGATCGGACACCTCCCGGGTATACCTGGACAGGGAGCTGAACAACTCTGAAGAACGGGAGCCTCCAGCTCAGACGCCGACTGACTACGTAGGCTTGTCATGGGCATGCAGAGCCAAGTCTCATCGTGCAGTTTTGTTGCGATATCGTAGAGCGAGGAGCACGGAGAACACCAAAGACAAGCAGTCGTTTTAAAGGAAACTGCACATTGGCTGGCAGGATAGAACCAGCTTGAAACTAGATGCCAAACATGTTTGTGAAAGACGTTTCAAGTGAACTGCACATCAACACGTTAACTATCGATTCATTTGATGTACTGCGCCTGAAGCCGGCAACAAAAAAGGGGGATGTTCTGATTCTCTGACTGCGATGAAGTTCCCACTCAAATCTTGACGACACCGGCTTCATAGCAGGCGGGGCTAAACGTCATAACAAAGGAAACCGAAGCTATGGATACTGAGAACACTAACCGAGGTACTTGTATGCATACTGAGGACATACTGGCATACTAACGACTGCAAGGCGGCTCTTCTTTGTTCTTGAACACTTTCTGATCCCCGAGCCCACGCAAAACAAAGTGTATTAAGCCAGAAACTGAGGAGGACCGCCAATTCCCAAACACGTATCCGGAGAAGTTAGCACCGTTCGGGGCCCAGGCTCTTCGATGTGGTCCCGGAACTCTTTCTGCTTCATGGCCTGCGGCTGCCATCACTCTGAAGTCTTCACTGACTTCCGAGTCCCTGAACCGGCCACAATAAAACAAACTAGCGAGCAATGGTTCAGAGTGGCATGTCAAAGAACAGATGGACTCCGGAAAAGATCCCAAGCTGGTGACGACTAAGGTGCGTTGGGCGTGTGGCGGTGGCTATGCATGTATAGACTTTAGGACACCCCTTAGCCCCTTGGCCATGTAGGGGCCTCGCTCCTTAGAATAGGGTCTGGGGTATGTCTGTAAAGATATAGTGGAACCCTAAATATTCATGCTTCTTGCAGGGCTTCTGTAACTTGATTTGCCTTCTTTTCAGCCCTTGAGCTGCTGACTATACCTGCATGAACCCGAACATCCCTCCGGAATTATCGTCTCGACTAACCCATCCTCCAAAACTGCCTCAGAAGCAACCCTAGTGTTGCGTGCATCTCGGCTCAGCAGTCTACTCCATGTAGCTGCGGCAGCACCTGCCTGGACAAAACACGAAGCTATGGTCTTAGTAGCCATGTTGTGGTCTAGGGCTAGCGGGGTGATCAGCTGACGAGGCTGCAAAGAAAAAAAGTAAAACCTACATCCTACCTACCCCTAAGCATGCTTCCGGTATGGTGTCCGCTGCCTTCTGCAGCTTCGAGACCTCATCCTGACGTAGGTGAAAAAGCTCTGGCTTCAGGCATGGAGTTATGGCTTTGTGGTGGTATATTGTCTTTAGCATGGCATAAGCTTAAGCATGGGACCCTCAACCTTTAGGGAAGGCCGCTTTCAACCTCACACTTCATGCCTGCTAGTGAGCTCCGTTCCCAAAACACCCTATGTGCGTTAGTACAAGTTCCCCTCGTGCTCTGCTCTGTCCGGAGCTAACTCCCTTCTTGAGTGGACCTTACCCCAACCCCCCCCCCCCCCCCCCAACTCTCTCCTGCGTGATGCCCGTCATGTCCCCGTACTCCCCCGGCTTCCGCCGCTGCGCCGCAAAAGCCATGGTCCCGCACCCTTCGACCACAAGGCTTGAGCTTGGGGCCGTTGGGTTGGGACTTGGGCTTTGGATTCTCGTTCGCCGCAGGGTTCAGGGTTTCGGGTATTAGCTTGTTACGGGCTCATGTCGAGGATCCGGAGTCTTGGTAAACTGTTTTGCCATAGGCTTACAACGAAAAGACACGCGCTGTCACCCCAACAAAAGCCTGCCCAGAAGGTAGGGTTTCAGGCCGAGGGTTTAGACTCTCACGCGGTTTTAAGCCGAGCCTGCATCAAATCAAGGACCAATTTGTGGGTTCAGGCTATCCCGAGGCCCTCTGAACTTCAAGCTCCGCAAGGATGGACATAAGCCGTAACTTAGGCGAAGAAGAAGGCGCAGGAAATAATCAACTCAGCAAGGGCTTTGTGGGTGATGTCGTTAGCCGCTGGAGTTACATCCCTCCATCCGTGAAGGCAGGCAAGCAAGAAAGGAAGCAAGCATGCATGCCTACATCGACCGACGCGTCGACATACGTTGAAACACACCGACCTTCACCGACATGCAATGCCATGCCGAGACTGCCTCGACATGTATTGGCACACATAGACATACACCGACACATAGCGACTTAGCTTGAACACGCACACACACATATGTATGTAT